ATTAATGCCGAAATCTAAATATGAAAATTCAAACTTTATAATTATTTTAAAGGAATTACATTATTTCGTGATTAAATAATTACTTAACTGTATTTTATTTACCAAATAATCTTAAAAAATCTAACGAGTGAAAATTTGTTTTTCCTTACAAAAATCATATTAATCATTTGCAAATTGATTTTCTAAAAATATTTTGATAATATATTTCAGGTCTTCAATTTTATTATAAAATGTATTGTTAATCTCACTACAAATTAGTAATTTTTTAGAAAAATGTATTGCTGCTATTTTTTTTTTTAACTATAAAAATGTATTTTTATACTTTCCTGGTGTTTTGATCTTTGATTGGGGGTTCAGTATTTGCCCACAGCTAGGATCCTGACAGGTGCTACTTCACCGGGTCAGGGTGAACCTGGGAACACCTGCAATTAAGAGGTAGTTCCACGCTCCTCACAAACCCCAATCTCATGACCAGAGGCCTTGCTGCTGGGTGTAGTTTATCGTTCTACCCAGCACTAATTGTATCATAGAGAACAAGGCTGTAATATAATATGGCTGTTCGTAGCGATTGTTCTTCAAGGTGCTCTGTTTGGACTGACGAGGCAGATTTTTTCTCGCAGTAGGTTGCCATTTCTTTCTGCCGTAGACCAGTTGCCATCCAACGCTATAGAACCCGGGATGCTCTGCTATTTAGTCAAAGCAGGGCGGGAAAAGAAGAGGATTCATACCTTTCCCAAGGGTATTAGTACGTAAGTGTATGTAATACATTCATCTGGAAAGTCATTAGTCAGTTATATGCCATGCGTGATACACGCTTAGGTGATCATGTATCTTTCGATACATGACTGACGAGGCAGATTTTTTTTCCCGCAGTAGGTTGCCATTTTTTTCTGCGGTAGACCAGTTGCCATCGAAGGCTATAGAATCCGGTCTGTCCTGTTATTTACCCATAGCTGGTGGGAGAAGAAGGGGAGTCATGCCTTTCCCAATGGCATTAGCATGTAAGTGAATGTAATGGATTTGATTGGAATTAGAACTTTGTGAGAACGGAAAGACTCCACTTCAAAGGACAGTTCAGCTGTAGGACGTAAATCAGAGCTGACAGCTACAAGGCAGTTTCCTAGACCAGAAAATTTCACACCGAGAACATACAACTGCTCTTTATAACACAAATTCCTCTTCGAGTTGAGACGTCCTGTTTGTGCAGAGGTGGGTGTTATTTGAAAAAATTCTGCCTTGTGCAATTTTGTGATTCATTTCTCCAAGTTTTTCCCATTTCTTCTATTTTTGATTTATATATATTTTTACAATTTATGGTTTAATTTTTATTTTTAATTTTATAATTTTAATTTTTTAATTTTTATTTCTTACTATAATTTTTAATTTTTATCTTTAATAAATTAAGTAATTTTATAAATTATATAAAATTATATCATTTTTAATTTTATTTTTCATGTTTTTAAAGAAAAATATGAAAAAAAAAAATGATATCCAGTAATTGGGGAGACAAAAAGTACAAAATCTTTTATTAACAAAATATTCCCCACCTTTTTACCATTTCTCCTATGAAGTATAAGGCCAAGGCCTCACTACGTTAGATATTGCTGATGTGGTTTCGGAGTTAAATTTTTAGGTGTGTCTAAGCAAGGTGGTTCGTAGCTATAAAGGTTTGAACTGGTAGCACTAAAGAATGGAGCTCATCTGGAAATAACGATAGGTTTACGATGTTGCGCCAGAGGGAAACAGACTGTAGGGTGGAAGATAAGCCATATCTCACAAGGCCACGTAAACGATTTTGAACGCTGTCAAGGCTAGAAAGTGAGGAATTGGGCAGCTCCAATTTGCCAACCCAGGTCAGAGAAACCAGTTTGTGCTGCTATTTAACTCCCAGTCGGAGTGGAAAGAGAAGGATATATATCTTTTTGCGAAAGTGAACGCAAAGATCCCAGACGAATTTGAACTCGGCACAACGGTCCCACTTTTCGCGCCGATAACCAAAACGACAACCAAAACAGTATTTAGCTATCTTTTGTCTTTAAAACATTAATTTTATGATCATTCACGGAGTTTAACAAGTGGGTAAATGGAGGGATTTTCGCTACAAGCGTCCATGACAGTTTGGTTTAGCTCGTGAAGAGTGGAATATGGTTTGTTGCCAGTGTTTGTGTTTCTTGTCTTCATTCTTTAACATTTTCTATAGGATTGAGGTCTGAAGACAAGGCAAGCCACTTTATGTCAACTGAAAAAGGGATTACTTAAGCACAAATCAGTCATTTTTGTAGAACTGCAACTCGCATTGTCTTGCTGAGAAATATACGTTTTCCTTCATCGCTTATATATTAAGAGCTTTCGGGTCAAACTTTGTTCTAGCATTCTTTTGTTTCTCGAATACTGTCAAAGTTCTGTTAACAATAAAAAGACAGCCAGTAAACTTACCTCAGAAAAAAATTCCTTCTCTACTAAACTTAAGGACAGCCGTTTTCAGTGTATCTCATTGCAGATCAAATAAACAACCCCAAAATGTTGCTGTTATCAAGATTGAAGTATTTCTCGTCTATCGAAATCAAATCTGAAAATCACGGTACTCTTCAGGAACTATCTCTGCCAAGTGGCAATCTGGATTCTTTGTGACTCTTTCGCAAAAAAATGGCTTCGGCTTAGCTTGTATTCCATGAAATCTACGATGTTGTAGGCAGACGACGTTTATGCTTGCTTTACCTGGCTTCTTTTTTGTGCAATTTTCGATGGTTCAGACACGTTCAGAAAAAATTAAACTCTCCGGTGTATACAACCGTTTCCACAGATTAACGGTTAAAAATAGTTTCCAGCGAATGAAGCGTGTAGATCTTAGCAATGACCATCCTTCTTAAAACCTCGTGGACTGGTCCTACACGTACACAAACAAAACAAAACAAAAATATATGAAATAAATCATACAATCATTTATACCAAATACACCACTTCACTTGAGGACTTTCAAGAGCAAAAACAACTATAATAGCACTCGATAGAGAATACTGGTATAATCAAGATGTTTACATTCCACACTACTATAAACAAAAGATTAGAAAGGAAACATCCATTTACACTGGAAAGAGCCATAACAGTTAGTGGATTTGAAAAAAATTTGATACATTTCAACAGAAAGTATCAGTGGCTGTTTGGTCAATGAATACGGAATGTTTCCTTAAAAGGAAACGGCTAATAGCACCATATCCATTTAGATATTTGGTTATTCTACAGCGTTTCTTAGAGGAGAAGGCAGATTATTTCTTTTAAAATCAGAAATTTTTTCTCTATTTCCCATTTGGAAAGGAAAAAAATGATGAAATACAAGAAACTCCGGTTACAATTTATACGGAAACGTTAAAGAGAAAATTAAAATTAAAATTAATTTTTTGCTATGAAATGTCTCAACATGTTAATCTCATTCAAATTTATACTGGTTTTCTTTTTCTTTTTTCTTTTTTATCTCTATTGTTTTTACAATGCTCCACATTTTAAAAGCAGCAGTAGTTTTGCTAGAAAATGAGATATGTTGTATGATCCGAGACGTAAATTTACTGCGGAAGATTCTGAAGTTTTCGCCAAAATAAATTACCTTACGTTTTTAAATAAAACTGCAATCGTTGAGTTACAATCCCTACATAAACAACTTTATTACTTATGCATTATTCTTTTTCAGCTTGCTTAGGCAATAAAACGTTGCTAATTGTATGTAATTGTTTACATGTTAATTATGTGTTCACTATACTATCGTATCAACAATCACTTCACAAAATATTCATCAACAAATTGGACCATTCCGTCAACAGACTCTAACGATTTATAAGAAAAAGGCTATCGACCATCATTGTTTGCCACAGTGAGTTACTGAGTCCATCAGAAACAAAGATCGTTATTTTTTTTTTTAATTTTTTATTGTTCGTGTATACTTTCTGTGTACACCATCTCAGTTGGCTGGAAAGTAATTTTTCAAACTTCTAATATGTGCCGTGTTCCTTTAGGACGTTGGCGATCATGACTCTCCACAATTTCCTGTTCTTTGTAGCTCTTAGTAAATTTTATGTTTTTTTTAAAATCTGTTCTGTAATCGATTTACACAAGATCGCTAGAAAGTTTATGCGTTGTTTCCCTTTGTCCCTCTTACCTTCAGTTTGTCCTGTGAGTATCAAATTTTCCAAGTTCTCTTTTCTCATTAAAGTGCCCTAGGAATTTCAACTATCTCTTTCTGATGTTAAATATAAGCATCCTTTTTGTTTCCATTTTCTCTAACTCTTCGTAGGAGGATAAATAAACAAAAAAATCTGATAAAAAAGAAAAACAGTGACTTCTAATAAATACATTTTTTATCTATGAGAATGTGTCTTATATCTGGCCCAATTTAGTGGTTCTTGCTTCATGAATTTATCTATTCTGCATATTTAACTTTAAATTCAGTCTAAAAAATAATTATGTTTTTTTTTTTAAATTCATTTTCAAGCTAGTGTTCTATGATCTTTATATGATTTATGATGACAGATTTTAAAAAATTTTTTTTTTTATAATGACAGATATTTTTATTTGTTCACCCCATGCATGGCTGAAAATCCACAAAGATACAAGAGCTTACTGGGTGCGGAAGAGTTAAAAACAGAAACATTGCTGAGGAGCGAAAACCAAAAAAAGAGTAATCAGTAGAGACAGTAGATAGCGATTGACATTGCGTTTAAATTTTTGAAGATTGTAGTCAGCTAGAAAACATGGAACCGGAAGAGGGTTCCACGAGCGAGAAGTGCGAGAAAAGGAACTGTTAGCACAGAACTTACGGTTACATCTAGCCAACTCTTATCATTAAATTGTTTAGTTTTTCTTTGAATAAAGCTTCTTTAAATAAAACTTCACTGAAAGTGGTGACTACCTTAGCATTTCGATCAGTGCTTGCGAGTAAAGGGAACTAAGCAATGTACATATTTTTAATTGCATGTTTTGATTTTTTTTACCTATCTAAATTGTTACAGATAGGAACTCCTGTAATGCAACGTCGTCGTCTTTCTGTCTCAACCCCTCTCTCTCTCTCTTTTTGGCTTTCTTGTTTGGTTCGGCAAGTCTGTTTGCCTGTTGGTACTAGTGTCGTCATGTCTTTCTACCCACTGCTTCTGTTAGCCACTGATGCTGATTCCCACAGAAAGTAATATTTTTTATAAAAGAAATTCTTGTAAATCTTATGCGCACCCGGTCCCCCGCTAAGACGAGTTCTTCGAACGGAAAGATTAAAAAAAAAAGCATTAAAAGAAATAACAAGGTAGACAACATTACGATATTTCTACAGACGATTATGACAAGAAGGGAATCCCTGCAAGAATGTTTTCTTAATATAAACGTTTCCTGTCACATTCTGTCAGAGGGTAAGACGTCTACATATTTCTGTAGAGGGTTTATACTTGACACCTGTCTCCTACACCCATTTCCACAGAAAGCAATAAAATATTCTTAGATCGGGGGAGCGTGTAAAATCACTATTAACCAGCTGTAATAAAATAAGAGAGAGGTACGACTCCGACGTCTGAAGAAACTGGGACTCTATTTTTACAAGTTTAATGTGGATATAGTCTGGCGTAGGGTAGAAATAAGAATCAAGCATTAGTAATCGTCTGAAAGACTAGCTTCACGGCAAGGCAAGCTTATTTTCTTCTAAGATTAGCGCCATTGCTAAAAGGTAGATCGCGGTATAGTTGAAATGACTGGTGAGTGAAATCCATTAAATAAAGTGTTGAAACTTGACTAATGCATGGAATAATAATGCAACACAAAATGTACTTAGAACAAAATGTATTGAAAGAAGAAAGTGTACACAATATTTACATATAGTCTTTTGTATATTCCTGGTAAGACCGTTCCTGGAGAATGTATTGACTTCGTCGCAGTCGGGCAGAGTCTCTGGTTGAATCTCTTGATTCCACCCTCTCTTCCCGGTACCAACCATATCTATATGGTCGGTACTCCACTATGCAAATTAGGTGGATCCTACCACAACATAAAGTGAGGTACCCGAAATATTTTTTGGGGTGCATCAAAAGTTTGAATCCATTGAATGTTTTTATACCACAAGTAATGATCCCCGAATCCATTACATTCACTCACGTGCTAATACCCTTGGGAAAGGTAAGAATCCTCTTCATCTCCCACCCAGCTATGGGTAAATAGCAGGGCAGATCGGGTTATATACCCTTGAATAGCAACTAGTCTACCGCAGAAAGAAATGGCAACTTACTCCAGGGAAAAAATCTGCCTCGTCAGTCATGTATCGAAAGATACATGATTGCTTAAGCGTGTAACACGCATGGCACCGAATACTCCACGTATATTTTGATGAGCAAAGCTCTTCTGAAGGTTTGTAAGTGCTGTTGATCGGTGTCTCTTCTCTCTCTACATTTCATGCGCCAATTATTTGAGGACGAAAGGAATCATAGCTTTCCAGAACTCCCTGTCTTTTTTTACGCTAAAAATTATCCATTATTTACCAGCCCGTTTTTTTCCTATTGCTAAGTAGATTACTCGGTGTTTTACCCTGCTTATGTTAGCTTTAATATGTCTTGTCAATGTTAAGTTCTCCAAACACTCCAAATAAATTAGTGAACTTACTTCACTAATTTATTCCTTTAAATGTAGTTGCGGTTCGTACTACATAGGGAGAACGACGCAAAGGCTAGCTAGATGCTAGAATAAAACAACACATTCCAGTGAAAATCCGAAACCGGAAGTACACACCCTCGGACATTCTGACCAATACGTATGGGTCTTCCATCGCTGAACATCTTATAAATAACGATAATTGTGCTGTTAGTTTTAGTTCGGACGCTTTTACCATTCTTAGCAAATCCCACTCAAATTGCCGCCTAAAAGTGTTGGAGGCCATCTATATTTTATCTTTAAAGTCTTCTCTTTGTAAACAGAAGGACTTTATATTAGACCTCCGACTAATTACCATTTAATTTTTTACCCACCAATAAACTTTTTCCATTGTTCTTTCTTTCTATTATATAATTTACTATATTTACCTCGATTTAGCTCTGTTGAGCGAGGTACGAAACCGGTTAGCTAGCCCGTTTTTCAGTTTTACGTTTTATTATCATGAGTAGTAATAATAAAACTAATTATTGTCTATTCCTGGCAGTGATAAAATTTGGTATCATGAAACATCTTTTTATATATATATATATATATATATATATATATATATATATATATATATATCAAGGACTGCGTTTCCCATTCTACCACAGAAAAGAAAAAAGAAAAAAGATCGACCAGTGGAAGATAACGCATTTAAGGTGAGCAGTCTTTGCAATGAAAGTGCTTAATATCAAGATATAGTCGTTTAATAGTGACAAATAAATTAAATGTACAACTCATCTGTCTTTACAATGAGTTTCGAGGATATATTATCCATGTCTTCAGTCGATTAACAGCAAAACCGGGCGTATTTGCAGAAATCATATTTTTTTTTACAAATCATAATTTTCTAGAGCATTTCTTTTTATTTCTTACAATATATTTATATAGAGAATAAACCAAGTGATTGGCAAAGCGTTAATACAAAGCTTGTCAAAGAAAAAGAAAAAAGTGATAAAAGACAGACATAACTAATCAATGCCTGCAGAAATCAACTGACACTCCAAACAGCGCTCAGAGATTCTAATTGTATCTCTGAGTTTCACACTTTTGATCAGTGTCCCTGGGCGCTTTTGGTTATATATATATATATATATATATATATATATATATATATATATATATATTGCTCGCCGGTAACACGACACTGATTTTCATCCTGTTATATTACATCGAGCGCTATTTTCTTAACACCGGCACTGAATATATACAGTAGCGGCCATAATATAAGGAACGGAAACAACAAAGACATAAATCTGTGTATTACTTAAAAAGTAATGCATGATTAGCAATTAAATTTTTACCGAATATAGATTAGGGTGTAATTTCATAAATATTATACAAAGTTACAAAAATTTACATAATAGTTTTTTTTAAAAATAAAGATTAAATGGAACAAAGGAAATAAGCTACTGGACAAAAGTTAAGGAACAATGTTAATGATTTGCATAAACTTTTAATTTACATTGTTAAAACCTCGATGGAGCTTTTCAGCAAAAAGTAAAAGTTCATTTATCATTAGGACTTTATTTTTAAGCAATATGGCAAATTCTACACGCAAAACGCTCTCTTTTGAAGAAAAAACTCATTACCGCTAACTATCAAGAAAAAAAGTCAATTTCAGAAATTTCTGATATTATTCATAGGTCTAAAAGTGTCGTTCATCGTGTAATTAGCTGGTATAAAACCGATAAAACGTTAGATGCAAAACCAAAAACCGGCAGACCTCCAAAAACATCGCAAAGAGAAGATCGAAGAATTGTTAGAATATCTACAAAAAACCGTTTTGGAACTGCTACATCAATTGCCTGTAAATTTAATGAAGAGATAGACAATAAGATCTCAAGGAAAACGGTTGCTCGCACGCGTGGAGTATGCGAGTGAACATGTTGTTTGGACTGACGCACAATGGGATACAATTCATTTCAGTGACGAGTCCAAGTTTGGTTCTGAGGGCAAAACTTACGTACGCCGTAGAACAGGTGAAAGACTGTCTTCTCAATGTGTCAAGAAAACCGTTAAGTTTCGTGGCGGCAGTGTGATGGTGTGAGGAATGATTTCACCTGCAGGAGTTGGCCCTATCATTCGCGTACATGGCAATATCAATGCTGAGATCTCCAAAGGGTGTCTTCAGCAGCATGTGGTACCAAGATTACACCATAATCTTTATGAATCTCCTATTTTAATGCAGGACAATGCACCTTGCCACAAGGCTCAGAAGGTTATGGCTTTATTTGAAGAAGAAGGAATCGCCCTAATGAAGTGGCCAGCCCAGAGCCCCGACCTGAATCCAATAGAAAATGTTTGGAAGATAATTGGAGAAAGGGCTCAGAAACCCCCCCTGAAAAACCAGGATCACCTATGGGAGTTATTGAAAGACGAATGGGGGGGAATTACTGCTGATTTTTGCAAGAAATTAATTAGATCACATGGTCGACGATGCAGAGAAGTCATTGAAAATAAGGGGATTAACAAGATCCTTCATTAACTTTTGTCCAGTAGCTTATTTCCTTTGTTCCATTTAATCTTTATTAAAAAAAACAACAAAAAACTATTATGTAATTTTTTGTAACTTTGTATATTTATACATTACACCCTAATCTTTATTCAGTAAAAATTTAATTGCTAATCATGCATTACTTTTTAAGTAATACACATATTTATGTTTTTGTTGTTTCCGTTTCTTATATTATGGGCACTACTGTATACATACATATACATACATATATATATATATATATATATATATATATATATATATATATATATATATATATATATATTGTGTATTGTGTTAATAAAATAGTGCTCGATGTAATACAACAGGATGAAAGTCAGAGTCGTGTTACTGGCGAGCAATAATATGCATATATATATATATATATATATATATATATATATATATATATATATATATATATATATATATATATATAAGAGGCCTGGGCGTGCTATGTGAAAGAGGGATAACATGATATCTTGGGAGTATATAGCTGTAATCTTAACTTTCTGCAACCATTGCATTTCTTTTTTCACATGCATTTGTGGCAGGACAAATCGTCTCTGCTTTAATACGACAATGAACATGCTCACAACGCCCTGAGCATCCGGCAGTTCTTGGCTAAGAAGAACATCGCCGTACTGAAAGCACCTCTGTATTCACCTGATCTTGCTCCGTGTTCTTTTATCAGGCGGATCATCAAGCGGAGTCGTTTTGAAGGCGTGGAGAACATCAAGTGTGCCGTAACGACTGAGTTGAGGGGCATCCAAGAAGAATTCTTCCAGTAGGGCATAGAAACGTGTCAGCAAAACGTGGAAAAGTGCATTAGACTCGAGAAAGTTTATCTTGAAAGGGAAACCATGTTTCTTGGTTGGTATTGAAATAAATTTTTTGTAGCACGAATCCTGTTAAATTTCAGACAGACCTCGTATATATGTTACTCATATTCAAACTATACAAGGGCCACTGAGGAGAAAGGTTTCCTGAAAAGATTGTCATGTGACTGGCAAGAGTAA